TTCCACCCCGCGACCAACGGCCAAGCGGAGCGAATGGTGCGGACTACGAAGGAAGCGTTGAGCTGTCTGACGGAGGGAGATTGGGAGTGGAGAATCACGCAGTTCCTCCTGGTGCAGCGCACCACGCCCAACCCAGTGAGCGGCCGATGCCCAGCCGAGCTCCTCATGGGACGAAGACCGCGGACCCTACTGGACCGCCTACACCCGGATCGGGCTCCTGAATTGCGGAACACGCCGGAGCAGCGGGAGGCGCCTCGCGAATTTTCCCGGAGGACCCGGTCTTTGCCCGGAACTTCGGCAGGGGGCCGGAATGGCTAGCGGGCCGCATCACTCATCCCCTAGGATCGATAATGTACGAGGTGTCCACCGAGTGCGGCCAAGTACTGCGGAGGCACATAGATCCGCTCCGGCGGTGCATGCTCCCAGAACACGCGGGCACCGAAAGCCCGGAACCACAGCCGGCGCTCGAGGAGAGCGCCCCTCCACCCCTAGCGCCGATCTCCACCCAGGGAGAGCAGCCGGTCCGGACCCCTGGCCCACCGACGATCGTGGACGAGGGCCCGGCCACCGGAATCGCCGAGCCAGCGGAGCCGCCACCGGTTAACCACCCCAACACAGAAGGTGAGACCCCCGCGGTAACAGCGCCAACCCCCCGACGATCCACCAGAGAACAACGGTCCCCGTCTTATTTGAAGGACTACGTCACCTAGGATGGGTCAGAACTATGGGGGGAGGGATGTTGTGTATGCTGACCGCCACCGGGGGGCCAGCGGTCAGCCAGAGCTGCCAGAGCTTGACTCTGGAACAACAATAGGGACTAGGCTCCTAGTCCCTCCACTGGGGAGCCAATGGGATCCGTGGCGGGAGATTCAAACCCACCAATGGTGACCAGGGGTGTGTCCCCAGGGATGTATATAGTTGGCTCCCCGGGCCGTTGTTCTCCATTCTTGTTGTGTGCCTAATAAAGCGTGCTATGCACTACGTCGTCGTCTGTCACCTATCCATGCGGCAACCCACTACACAATAACCTGCTAGCTACAATGTATGTTTTAAGGTCTGTTTAAATGAGTTAATTCATGGCAAAATGATTATCACCACACTGCAATGGAATCTGTTGGGTGATTTCCCTCACCCCCATCATTTCCGTGGTCTTATTTATTTATTTACTTTATTTATTTTATCCCGCCCTCCCCGGCAAGGCAGTCTTCAGACTTTCCAGACCTGGGATCCACCATTAACTCCCAGATGGCATCTGAGTTGCAAGCATTGTGGTCATGTGGCCGGAGGTGGGAGAGACAGAGTTGTGTGACCTCTCGGAGGTCAAGCCCAGGACCTTGGTAGGAGCCCAAGAGAGCTGGGGCCAAGAACATCTAGGGTTGCCTGGTCCCCTCGAAGTCCCCAGCCAGGGACCTTGGGGGGCGTTACTGGAGGGAGTGGG